TGGGAAAGGGGAATAGAGGGGCACAAGAAAGGACACACTGAAAAAGAAGAACATGTTATTAGGAAATAGAATGAGATAAAAAAGAAAATGTGAGGTGGGTACAAACACAAAGAAGGCGTAAATGGGATGATGGAGTTGCAATTTCTATGATGGTTAAATGTACAAATTAGTAGACAAGGGCGAAGACAAGAAAGCATGAAAGAAAGAGACAGAAAATATCCGAGGAAAGGAGGGAGCCACAGAGAGGGGGAACTAAACGAGAGAGAGAGAGAGAGAGGGAGAGAGGTTCCTAATGCTGATTTATGAGTGCTTGACGGTCGTTAGCTGGAATAAATGGCTTGTAGGAGTGGCTGCAGCATTACTCCCTGTACAGGATACTAAGTGCATTGTAAGGTCAGCCATAAGGCCAAACTTACATATGTAGTGCTCTGCCCTTGTAAACCTTTGTTAATATATCAGCCACAGGATGGGACTGTAACTAGTCCATCTGATACACCCGGATGACTGCGACTCCCTAACCGGCATGCTAATTCACTTTCATTTTGAGACCAAAGTTTAATAGACAGAACTTTTATAGTTGGACACAAAAATCAAACGCACCTACTGTGTTTGGTGGTAACGATTTGCTTTTGCCAGAAAATAGTATAAATTCCCATGATTTGATATCTTAATAAAATATTTATATACGATTGATGACTCGGATGATGATTCAGAGTCTTGGCCAGGATTGCCTCTGCTCGGCTCTCAACATTAATCTTTGCTAATAAAAATAATAGTTATTTGCCCCCACTGATACAGGTTATGCTAACGCTTAGCATTTTGTGCTGATAAAAATAATCATTATTTGCCGCTCGCTACAGTCCATGCTAATTCTTAGCATTTGGGGCGATATCTTGCAGAATTAACTTGCAAACCATTAGCTTCTTCCAATAGACAGAGGTTAAGTTCATAAAAAAAGGTTATCATGCAAATGTTTTGCATATTCTCTACACAAGGCAGACATCTGCCATAGTGGCTTAGGTATATTCCCTCATTAGGTTATAAGAAAGGTGTATTATATGGACTTTGTGTCTCCTTGAACCCTTTTACAATCAAGTCTTGCATTGCTGTTGTAAACACTATTACACTCAAGCATATTTCAAGATAGGACATTGTATTTTTTACGAAGATTTCACAAGAAACGAGAATGTAGAATTCAAAACTGAATAAAATGGTCTGTGTATGGATTGTACATTGCTGTATATGTTCCGTGCCTTTACAGTATATTTTCAATATGAAACAAATGCTGTATATAAGGCATTAGATGTGAGTATGTTTTTCCTGTAGGCTATCATCATAGTTGCATCACTTTACACTTGCATCAAGCTCACTCTGGACAAAATGAAAGTCCACATTTTTAGTACACACTCACTATAAACATGCATCTCTTGACATAGTAGAACAAGACGCTGGCTTCTAGTCACCATCACCACGAGTCGCATTATCTTTTTTTTCTTTATATTCCTCGCTTTTCTGTTGTGATCTGGTGACTCACGCACACATGTTCCTGCTTTTGTTTTTTCTCCTCTGTTGCTTTCAGTTGACCTAGCTCCAGACAAAAGGAATGGAGGGGAGCAGAGAAATGGAATGATTGCGTAAATGGAGGGCTATTTTCAGATAGAAAAGAAACAAGAAATGCAAAAGTGAGGTGGGGAAGGGGGGGAAAAAAGAGCAGGGAAAAGAAGAGGCGTGGGTGAGGGGCAAGTCGATGAGACAGGAGGAGACAAGAGAATTTGACGAGGTTGGAGGCTGGAAACAAAAGGCAAACAAAAGTAATTCACAGCGATTCTGTGAAGGATATTGCTGTAATGAATTTGTTTCCCTTTTTCTTTCATACAGTAGAAGCACTGCTTGCATTTCTACTTTTAATATTACCAGTCTTCAAGTACTCTTTCTCGTATTGCTCTGCCACTTCTGCTGTCTTTCCTTCATTTTCTGAAACGGATCCATAGTGAGAGGATTTGTTTGACTTTATTCCACATCCTTACCCTTAAGATTAACATATGATTCGGACGTGTTATAGTTCCTTTAATAAGAATGAATTGCATACGCCTGCTCTGTTTGTCTTAAAACTGAGTGAGAAAGCTAAGTGATGTGATGCAACATCCATGTAATGTTCTCTGTTTTTCTCTGATTTGACCATTACTTTAAGCATAACATATGTAGTAACATTTCTAAAAACAACGAGATGTGTATAAAGTTATGCACATATTTTATCCCAAGTGTTTCAAAACATTTTTAAACATAGAGAAATCCCCCCACAATTTTGTATATGCAATGCATCCTTTGATGGACATATTTAGTCTTTGTGATGTGTAAGAGTTGTGGTTTTATGTCAGAAATAGGTTTTTACACAATTTTAAGTCATATTTTTACGTAGATATTTGTCGATTTTAATTGGATGAAGGGTTATAGTGATCAGATGTCAAGTTATCAGAACACAAGCTGAGTAAACTAAAGCAGGAGTTGAATTCCATTGGAGAAACACAGATTTTTCTGGTGATACTGCTTTACTTATAGTTTTGTACTGGTTTAAGTCACCACGTCTGTTTTCTATAGATAGGAGGAGACCTCTGTGGATAATTTGGCTTCCTGTAAAAAGCTTTTGTCGTTTTGATTGAGACACCCCTTGTGGAAAATGACAGATTAAGCTTTTAATAGTATATTTCCTCACCACTGTTAAATGGGATAGTTGCATTGCACAACACACACACACACACACACACACACACACACACACACACACACACACACACACACACACACACACACACACACACACACACACACACACACACACACACCCCCATAAGCCCTCCCTCTAACAAATGAGTTTACCGTGGTCATAACCTTCACAGAGCTCATTATCATAGATTGCAGGCCTTTTCATAAAGCGGAGACCACTGGTGACTGATTACTAGCGGGATGGTCATACACACATACATATATACACACACACACACACACACACACACACACACACACACACACACACACACACACACACAGTGATCCGTAATGAGACCTTATTCCGGACACCCCACCCAGCTGCCTGTAAATTACAGCCGCCACTCTGCCATACATACTTAATCAGCTAATGTTTTTTTATTCCTTTATTATTAATTTGCTCCTGTTTCTGATTTATCTAAAGCGCTCTGCATCACACCAATATTTTGTCTCCTTTACAGTTCAGAGAGGCAGCGTAGGCCGTGTGCTTATTCATGTACTTAGGGGATTGCATCTGTAATGAATGGACTGGCTGTTTAGGCATACACAACACAGCCTACTACTCACCTTAATAATGTAAGCAGGTCGTAACTCCTGCTAACCCAAGGGTATATAAGGCACACATACACACACACACACACACACACACACACACATTTGCACACCCAAACAGCCTACCTGAATTAGCCGCTGACCTCTGCTTATGCCAGGTCTTCTCGCTGTCACATTGCAGCTGCATTAGAATATGAATGTTTTCTGATTGGAGGAGAAAATCTGGTGTGTCTTTTGTGTGTTTGTTTGACATTTTTTTTTGTATGTTGTTTAGTACACATGTATTTATGCCCACCTTATTTTAATAAGCAACGGTACACCATAAAATCCTTTAAAAAGAAACACGATTTTAGTGCTTAAACATTTTTTTCCCGGATAAAATCTTTTGTTAGGTTGATGCGCTTAATTTGGGTTTTGTTGCTTGAAAACGATGGGTAACGTGAGCGATAATTGGAGAGTACAGTGCTGGTGTTGTCAGAAAGCATTAATTAGCGTCATCTAAAATATGTTATCTTTGCTTAACATATAACAAGTGCCTAAAAATAGCAAGTTATTCACACAGCAGATATAAAGGTAGTCTGTCTTTCTTCAGCATGCATTACATGTTAACTTCGCACAACATACATAAGATGAATTTCAACTTTCCATCTGCACCAGCTCCCTTTAGATGCACCTCTTTGTGGTTGTATTTCGGTTAGTGGTCCACTACCCCATATTCTGCATTCACGTAAACTCGAATTTGCACACATACCATTACTTAACACTAGCGTATGCATAATTGAAACACACGCTTATATTTAAAGCACACACACACAGGACTGTGTTGACCTGTGAGTCATTGCTCTCGGCATTGATTTCCTTTTCCCAGAGTGACCCCTGTCACCACAGCAATAGAGTGGCCGATATTTCACCAGAACTGCTGGGTCTCTTTCTCAAGCCCCCCCTCTTTCTTTCTGTATGTCTGACTCTGTACTTCCCACTAACTCCCTCCTCACATCTCCTAATGTGTTCTCCAATAATAGTCCTGATAGTATTCAAAAAGCTGGGGGACTGTAATTGTAAGGCTTAATTCATTTTGTAACATTATCTTTTGTACAGTAACAGTATGAATTGACCTTACAAAACAAAAATGGTGACCTATATTTTTCACATCTCCTCCACTAACCAACGTTCAGTCACAAAGAAACACAGAGTTATTCAGTATCACAAAATGAACAGTAGTCTCTGTGTGTTTAAGTATGCTCATGTACTCTTTTATCTATTAACTCAACTTTCTCTTCAATTCAATGGCCTTCTTTCAGAGCGAGTGACTTCCTGTGCCACTATTGCGTCAAATGCTTTTATCCCCAAACAGGACAGCTATATTAAGTCATTAGAGTAATCATAATTTAAATTAGATTTGAGATTATTGTCCTCTTTATTTGATTTTGTCATCTTTTTTTAATTAGATTTTTGTGATTTGTGTTCCGTTTTGAAAAAGAGGAAAGCAGACTTTTCCCTTGAATTAATAGTTTTTACATTCTCAAACTGAAATGAAGACCTTGTCTTTTGCTGCCATGGTCTTTAAGATGCTTCAAGTTGAACATTTCATAATCTCCTCATGTCTGTGACTAATGAATAATAATTGCTGTACATGCCCCATGTGACTCAATAATGTGGATGTAATTTCATATCTCCCCCAGGTGTCTGAGGCTGATCTGAGGACTTTGTTTCTGGATGAGCTTGTTGGACCTGCGGCTAACATCCCACACAGGTATGTGTAGTTATAGCCACACTCAGATTCCCCCTCATCAACAAGGCTTTTTTCCCCAGGTAAAAGTTTACCCTTGACTAAAATGACTTATAACTTCTTAAGAATAACTTTATGAATCGCCCACACACACATGCAGGTCCCAGTGTAGATAGAGGTAACAGCGTCGGCCTCGGGGACTCTGCCTCTCCTCGGGGGGGGTTGAGCTCCTCGGGGAGTCGCTGGAACATCACTGTCCCCCCTTGGCAATATGCAAATCCCTATATGATATTTCCCACCATGCAGAGCTCCAAGGCCCCTGAAGACTTGTTATGTTTCTACTTTCTGGAAAGGCAGATTTTCATTCTAGGTTTGGCACATTTTGACAATGAAAGAAGCATTTTCTGAATCTAAATGGTCATCCTCATACATATGTGCCTATTCCAGATGTTTACATCCTTAGCTAGACGCCTGGACTCACCAACTGAGTCAACTTTTATATATGTTGAGCTTTGGCTGGAAAGTAACTGCCTTTAGCAGCCGAGCAAACTCTGATTTTGTCATTAAAAGTATCCTGCAGAAAAAATATTGAATTCAATTTACCTTATTTTGCAACCATACACATTAACACATTGCCATTGATGTCTTGCACTGACAGCATTGATAATATATTGTATTATAAACCTGAATACGGTAAATGTAGTGGGGTAAAAACAATATTTGTAGTAAATGGAAATACTTTGATGAAGTACCTCACCAAAGTATTTGAGTAAATATACTTTGTTACTGTGCATCAGTAAGTAACAACATGGATAATAATACATTTCTGTCCTAGACTACATTCTAGAAGTTGGCATTGTAATGTTTAGTGTGATTACATGAAATAAATCAAATGCCTTGCAAACATAAAATTCCATTCAATATTGTTTTATTCAGAAGCTGTAATATGAAAAATAGGAACACAGGCGAATACGGTTAGACGTAACCAGTCAGTAGTTTGACAGCTTGCAGTGCTGCCAATTAAACTTGAGCAGGAATTGGTGGTCTGGCACAATTTGGCACAATTGAGTTTGCGGCTGCGGTTTCTTTGCCGTTCCTGCGAAAGGCACCGAAGGGCGTGATGGATCCTCCGTCAGCGTGCCGGCTGTCAGAGGCGCGGGGATTTGCATCACACCTTGAGCGTTTTAAATGGCTGCACATATTATAATAATAAAAAAAATGAAATGAGTAAATCAGGACTCATGACAGGCAGGTTGAAACAGTGGGTGAGTGTGTGTGTTTCTTGCCACCAGCGTCAACATTAAACACATCAGATTGAAGCCACCCTCCAGGGTAGCATCACTCAGCCAGGTGTGTGTGTGTGTGTGTGTAAATGTGAGCATGGTGAAACCTAAGTCTTTTATCTACTTTTCTTTTTCCTCTGGTTTTTTGTTTATCTACAGATTTATTTATATATTAAAGCTGTGCAGAACACACTCTCACACACAGATTGATCTATCGATGTATTGATGTGTGAGTGGGTGTCAGTATTTTATTTTCCCACTTCCTTCCCATTGTTTAATTATTTCCCCTAGTATGATATCCTGCAGAGTTTTTCACACTTGAGTTAGTGCTGTTTTCCTTTGCCAAAAGCAGTCAAATGCTGAAAGTTAGTTAGGTAAAAAGAAAAAGCTTTGACAGAATATCCTGATTCTCATTTGGGAACGGTGGGAACTTACTTTATTTCCACTCCGGCAGTATCCCTCAGTGTAACTGTTCTAATTCAACTGAAAACTTTTCTTTGTTCTGAAGTGATAAGATATTTAGGCTTAGGAGACTGGTGCTTCATTATTGCTACATTATAATTTTCCTGCTTGTTTTTCTATTGTCCAGCTGTTTATCCGACAGTCTCCCGATTCTTCTCTCCCCATTTATTTTGTATCGTTCAAGGTCTCCAGTAGATGCACATTACTTTCTATCTCTGACTCTATTTCTCCCCTCTCTTTCTCTCCCTCTCTCCCACTTCTCTCTCAGGACGGGAGGAGGATATGTCTCTTTTTCTCCATATTGACTTTCCCAGGTCAGGCTCCTCTTCTCCTATTAGGCCAAGCTAACTGATCAATACGCCGGCCTGGTGGGCTGCTGTGTGGACATGCAGACAGGCAGACACAGCGGGCCGTGCCCCGGCCAAGTGCCACGCTCATTAACACACACACAGCAGGAAATATACGGTATACATACCAATCACACTCTCTCATAAATGGATTTATTTATACAATTTATAATAATACAGCTGATTCTAGAAACAATTCAAGATTCAAAGGTTGTTTTTGTCATATGCACAATAGTTAGGCAAACAAAAATATTAAGACTCCTCCAACAGTGCAACACACATTATACTTAAGACATAAGAAGTGCAAGTCGAACAATGGTGCAAGTTAAATGCAGGAATAAGCAACTATATACATAGAATCAAAATGAACAGAAAGTGAAATGCAACTCTTACATTTCTACAATCTGTAATAAAAAAACTCACACATCTGAACACAACTAATGCCAGAATCAATCAATCAATCAATCATGTATAAAACTATAAATCGTCATGCACTTGGTTGCTTCCCTGTCAAATGTGAAGATGCAACTCCTCTCCTCTCCTCCCCTGCTGTTTTCTCAGCTGGTGAGTTGTGACATCTGCAGTGCTGCATGGATAAGCAGCTGCCAGAGATGGAGGGGGGGAGGGGGGGGGAGTGCCGTGGAAGACAATGCAGGAGAGAAGGGAAGAAGAGGGAGGGGTGCAGGGCACTGTCAACCAGCAACAGTTAGGTGTACAGCAGGGGGAGACAGGATGGTGTGTGTGTGCCCATGCACATGTGTGTGTGTAAATGGCAGCGTGCCAGGCGGTGCCATCTGGCTGCTTGACAGAGCTCTTCTCATTAACAGGGGGGTTAATTGCTGTGGCAGCACCCAGGCTGTGTCAAACATCACCCTGGGGACACGGAGGCAACAGACGATCTACATGTTTGTGTACGCACACGCACAAATGAGTGTGTGTTTAAGCATTAAACGCGGCACTGGGAATCTAAAAGCGCTTTTCTCTACGTAAAAGTGTTAAACAGCAGCCTGCAGTAAATTAGCCGTGGCATATGAAGAGGGCAGCGGAGGGGACCCACCTGTGTCCTGTGTGGTGTGCATGCATGCATGTGTGTGTAAGTGTGTGTGCGCTTGTTGTGCAAGTAAGCCAGGCTACAGTACATGCATGTTTATATTATTCTTATGAATTATGTCTTGTTGCTGTAATGATGTAGAAAGAATTGGGTTTACACAGCCAATGTCTATAGCCCTGAGGGCAAACACATACATGCATACACACACACACACACACACACACACACACACGGCAGGGGGAAGGGGTGGCAATTTGCATGTTATTACTGCATATTCATGACTAATTTTGTTAGCCTTGCCTAATAGGCCTGAGTGACAGCTTGAGATATCGAGAGTCGACTTTAATATCACACACACTCACGGTGACACACACACACATACAGACACACACCCTGCTCTCTGTCCGCACAGTAATCATAACAACACTTAGGGCTCTAAATCGGAATTCCCTGTTCATCTGTTGGTTTGACATTGTGTCATTTGTTTAGCACAACTGCTTTATTGTATATAACAATATGGTAAATCATATAACCTCATTTGTTACATGCATAATCATGACCTGATATGCACCCACACATGCACGCATATTCACACATTAAATCACATGAATACATTTGCATTGTGACTTGTTGCAGGTCACATTTTTTTTGTATTAATTTCCCAAAAAACTAGTGGAAAAAATATATAATACAGCCTCTACCTGCCATATTAAATTCAGTTTCTTCCATTAATGGTGCAGAAAATAGAACCTTACGTACCATTAAGTAATACAAACTGTGCTTATTTTCTTCGATTTTTCAATCTTTGTTGACTACAAAGCTGGGTGTGTGTGCATATGTGTGTTTAATAAGAATACTGGGCCAAGACAAAGTGATGTTCCTTATCTCAGCCAGTGAGTGTTTTCCGTCGTACACACAGCACTCTAACCATCCCGCTGTGAAGGTGAAAATAAGGATGAAATTGGCTGCAGTTACTTTTCATTCAAAAACCCTCTTTCCATTTACAACTAGTTCCCATTTCAAACCATTCGTCATTTAATAATCTCGACTAAATTTGGGCTGATTTAAGTATTTTTTCAAAGAACTGACAGGAAAATAAGTTTTGCAAATGCTAATGAATCGACCAAGCTTTTCCCTCCCTTAAAAAGGCCCTAAAATAATCATGTTTTGATGCAACTGTAGAAGGTTTTATCCTGTGTAAAAGTTAAGGATTGCTATTTGTGCATATCTTTGGGGAAAGATTGTCTTTGTCCACACATTTATATACATAATAAAGGCTTCTCTGCATGCTTAGGAGTACACTCAGTTTTTAACATTCTTTTTTTAAACAGATTTTCTTAGTGAAATGCTCGGCAAAGTGATAATTCATAACAAAGGAACACTGTAGTTAGAGTGGAATAAAAAAAAAAGGGGAATAGATAGCGCGGCAGCACACACTCCATTCCCTTCTAGACACAGAAACAGACTGTAATCTAAAGTCAGTTTGTTCACACTCTCCTCTGTGGCTTTTACTCCATTTGACTGAAAAGTTGTTTTTTTCCTGAAGTGAAAGATTTAACTCTCAGCGCTCTCTATCCACTCACATGTCACTTTTGTCAAATCTTGCCTTTCCTTCCCTGCTTGCTGCGAACGTGTAGACACGCTTGATCAAATGTGAGTTTAACATTTTTAATCTGCGCAAAGTTTCATCAGAATAACTCATCTCAGGAGGCTGGTAAATATGAATGTGTGTGTGTGTGTCTGTGTGTGTGTGTGTGTGTGTGAAGAGTACTGCAGAATTGTGTGATCTGTTTCCTTTTTTTCTTTCTCCTTCCATCTTGGGTGTGTGACAGCTGTCACTGGTGACTCAGAAAGGTGTCTGGGCAGAGTTAACATATTTTCACTGCCGGAATACACACACACACACACACACACACACACACACACACACACACACACACACACACACACACACACACACACACACACACACGCGCTCCAGTTGCTGTCACCTAGCACAAATTTCACCAGGCTCAGCATCTCTTTGCTTCTCTTGAATTAGATTTTTCTCATAAAGCACATATTACATTTTGTACACACGGCATGCTGTTCATATAGCGGATTGCTTATTTATATATTACTTTAGGTCAGAGAGCATTACATGAATTAATAAAGCATCTTAATTACAGTAACTGTCAAGGTTGACTTAGTTTTGTGTCATTTGAAATGCAGTAAACCAGTATCAAGAGTGGCCTTGAAAATAATTACTGTATTGAGATCATATAAAGATATTTAACATATTCAATACACATACTGGAAATGGTACCAGGGAATATACTGGCAGCTTACATTGCATATAATTACAGGAAGTGACCCACCAGTACAACCTGTTTTGAATTCACCGTTTTTTCCTGTTATTTGTCATTTATTTTCGTCTCTTTTCTTTTTCTCTCTGTTGTTCTGCTCCAGCTCTGTCTCCTTGGTTCAGATCACATCGGAGTTAGAAGACTTGAAAATCCAGTTGCAAACCAAGGACATGGTCATCTGTGATCTGGAGAGGACGCTCAGAGAGAATTCCCAGCAGAAGCAAAAGGTAATCAACCAAAGGTATTTCAAACTACAGGATCACTCGCCACACAAAATGTCATCAAGATATTGCCCAATCTTTTGACATCTGCCTTATTCTTAAGATCATTTAGCTTTCTTAATATTTCCTATTTCTCAAATGTAATTGAATACAGTTCATTGCATACACCTACATGCTATTTGGTTCAATCAAGTGTTTTTCCGTACATAAGACAGACATGAACAAAGAAACTAATTCCTATCATTTTAGCCTATTCTTTTCATAGCAGTTTTAAGACTGCCCACACAATTAAATGACTTGTTAAGGTGATTTCTCTGCAGAGTGCTTGTTATTGTTTAGAAGGCTGTCTGAGGAGTGGAGTTTTTTTTTCTTTTTACGATATTGGTTTGGCAGCTGTGCTGGAAGCGCTCCATGTGCAGCCAGGTTTAACAGGAAGCCGAGGCGTGTGTGATGAATTACCGGCATATCTCAGAGCCGGGGGTAACAAACATGGCGTCGCCGGCCGGGATTAAAAGGGAGAGTTTTTTTACGGCCTTCCCACACCTCCTTACAGGGTGTCACTAAATTATACCCACCGCTGTTTTACTGTCTTCTGTGGCTTACGGTTAAGAAGCGCGTAAATACACACAGGCTTGCAGAAATGCACACACACATGCGCACGCATGCATTTGTGCTTGTGGTGAACCCGGCTTGTTGGTTGTTTATGTGTGTGTTGGATGGTTACTGTGTGTTTATGCTGCTTGTGAGTTGTCTCATTTGCACTGCAGCTAATTAGTGGTTTGTGTGATTACACAGCCTAAGAGAAACAAGCGGAGTAACTGGAGCTTGTTCTGTTAATTATATTTTCAACAAATGTTGATATATCTTTTCATTCTGCCTGTGTTTCTGTTTAACTGGTACATCTGCAATGCAGATGCACGGATAGATCTTTTGGCACAGACTCGTGTACACACACACTTAATAAAGATGATTGCCACAGAATCTCATCTCTGCTCGTTAGCAGTAAGCCAGTTTGTGTATAACGCAAAACATTCCCAGAATGTGACATCTATGAGGCCCAATTAAAACAAATGATATCCGTAGCAATGGAAATAAAGGCATGTATACAATGTTATCCCTTTGAGTCTGTCAGTGTAGAAGGTTTTCATCTTTAATGATATGGGAATGACTAACATGGTTAAAGTGTTTCCTTTACATAACCCATGCCATTATCCTCTCTGTGACCCGGTGGCTCCTCTTTACAGTCTGACCCTGACCTGTCTCGTAAATAACAACAACTGTAGAATTCAAGTAAAGAATGCTGTTTTACTTTAGCCGGACTAGCTATAAACATTTATGTCATGCTATATGACAATCTACAATAACTAGTAAAAGTTGTTTAATAAATGAGTTGAATAAATGATTACTGAATATAGATAGATAGTGAGACACATTTACTGTAAGTAAGTGTCTTCCTCTGAGATAATGTTTAACTGTTGAACTCCCTCCGGGCCCAGACTGCAGCCCAGACACTGGAGAGCCGTGAGAGGCTGGAGCTCCTGCAGAGCGAGCTCTCATGTCTGCAGAGGATCCACAAAGACAACATGAAGGAGATCACAGAGAGAGGCGTCTGCATCACCAAACTGCAGGCGGCCTCTGAGCTGCTGCGACGACAAGAGGGCAACGACACACGCACTCAGGTGGGCACAGTGTGGAACAATGATTCAGATCTTTTACTTTTACACTCCATTGGAAGTGTTGTCTTTGAACACTGAATTGTTATCAGATGCGCCAGCCTCTCACTGCTCTCAAGCAAGATCACTTAAGCTAAATTAATTTAAAACGACAACAGAAGTTAAAAGGACCTATTGGGGAACAAAATGTACCCTGACTAATATTTTATTATATTATATTCATTATATATAGATACAGTATATGAAAAATCTTGACCCGAAACAAAGCAATTAATAACACTAACAGAAAAATACTGCATTAGAATTGTATTAAAAGTAGGGTAGGTAAGAATGGAGAAACCAGCTCGAATTTGAAAGTACACATCCGGAAAAAATCTGCCCCTTCCTTCAGACTTCCTCACAGAGCCCCTCAGGAGTCAAATGTACCCTTAATGACTGTATTTTATTATATTTTATGACATTTTTTTTTTTGAACAATCATGAACTGCAAATAAGCTAATTTGTAAATCTAACATGTGTTGTATTAGCAATCTAAAGCAGCATGCAATATAAATACTTTGAGCGTTTTTCAAGGGATGTTGCCTAGCAATGGGCCTCTTGATGTCTTCATTTGAGATGAAGTGACTTGTACCTCATTTGTTTTTACATAATACAACATGTGACTGCCTTCACCTTTTTTCTGACTAGCTCTCCAAGCTGAATGAAAGAGCGAGGGAGCTTCAGGAGGAACTTAGGAGGAAAGAGGAGGAATGGAGGCAAAGAGAAAACGAGCAGAAGCTGAAATATGAAAAGGAGCATGAAGAAGCAGAGGAGAGGGGGAGGCGGGAGCAACAGGAGAGGGTGAGGAAGGGGGATGAAGAAAGGAAGACCCATGCTCAGGCTGTTGGGCAGTGGGCCAAAAAAGCAGATGTCCTGAAATCTGAGGTGAGTTGACATGTGATCTATTGTTTTAACCAAACTCCACAATGGGTCATGAGTACACTTGGCTGCATGTGATATTATTTACTTGCTTCTTTTGTTTGAATTGTTGTGTATGAAATTATTCTCTTTCCCCCGTGAACTCAACATATCCCCCCTTCATCCACAATTAAAAGATGACTAGAATCATTAAATTGCAATTTTAATTGAGTTAATGTTTAGAAAAGTTTCTCCTTGTTTGAACTCAGAATATTTTAATTTTTTACTTTTTATTCTCGAGGCTCTGACTTACACAGACAACTTTAAGTCTTATTTTTTTACGATACAGTTTTCCTAATTGAGCAGTTTGTTTACTTCCAGCTCGACACAAGACAGCATATTTACACGCACGCATGTACACGCACTTACGCAGCAAAACACTTCACCTTAATTCAGACCTCAGACACTCTCCTCCCCTCCACCCCCCTCCTTCCTTCCATCCTGCCATCTCGCCACAACCGCTCCAAATTAATCTGCAAAATATTGATTTGAGGAGCAAGGGGGTGGGGGTGGTGGGGGTGCACGATTGCGGCCGCATATTAATACGAACGGGCCGCTCTTCGTCTCTCCTCTATACTTTAAGATCCTCATATCTTCATAATTGATTAATGTTCCTTTGTGAAGTGGGGATGAATAATACATTAGTGGGTCTGCTGCACCCTCAGGCTGATGAGAAAATGTTTAATTTCAGTAAATGTAGCGCTCCCTCTCTCTTTCATTTTCCCTCTCTGGTTATTTGTGAGTGTTGGAGTGTGTTTGTGAGTTTTCACTCGCGAGCCGAACACTAGAGGAGTGTTGTTGATTTGCTCCTTTCGTGTTTACTGTCGGCTCGAAGTGCATGTTAAGCATCACAAACAAAAGGCGGCATCTGCATTTGTGAATGAATAAATTGGTGGAATGAGCGCAGCATTGTTCCATTAACTCATATAACTGTTACAAGCTGTTTGCCATCAGAAGAAGAAACCAACCCTTTGGACATCTCTGCACACGTTGCGTCAGAATGCCCTGCGAACATCGGCTGCTACGGTATCCATCGGCAATCAGTGAGAGCATGCAAATGTTGTATAAACCCCTCCTGATGGGGACAAGAGGCTCTTCAGCAGCCTGGAAAGGTGCCAGGAGGGTGACATATGTCTGTCGCTGTGACTGGCACAGACTGGCTCTGTTTAACAATGCTAATTATGCTAAACACGCGCTAATGATGATGATTAAGGGGTTTAAGAGCCACGGCATGGCATGTTGCGTGTGAAAGGGTGGGGTGTCTGGCACCTGATGGTGAGCATCTGTGGGTAGAATAAATAAATGAAGCGCACACACACACACACACACCCACAGGTCTCTCTTCATGCCTACTTAGCCTCGCTTCATTTTCATTTTGAACTTGTGCCAATGATGATCTATACACAGGCACAGCTTCATCCATACACACTGAGCGCTAATTGAATAAATAATTTGTATCCGTTAACAAGCAGCCTAATTAGTTATGCTAATCAGCCTAGATAACCCAATTAACCTCATAGAGTGTGTGTTTATGTGTGGGTGTGGATTTCTCTGCCTGAGAGCATATCAGAGACACTTAAGAAAACACATTTGCCTAATTAATTCTCAATGTCATAATCAAGCATTTATGTTTTTTTCCATGACTTTATTGTTTTACTTTTGAATGCCAGATAATAGGCTTTCCACACCAAAGGAATACATGGGATTTAATTCATGTTAACGGTGTTTTCCACATATGAGAGGATAAATGCCTTTATACACATTTCTGTTTGCCTTCTGCCAGTTAGATCCACATGGACATGTATATTTTTACAATTATTATGGTAGTTTAAACAGAGTGTGTATTTTTTCAGGGAATGTCTGCCTGTTCCATTAGTTTATGTCCTTGGAAATACAATTTGGCCTCAAGTTCTCTCCGTTTATTTAAAACCTTCAGTCAGCGTTCCCATCCTAATAGTGAGCTGTGTTTCCTCTCGTTTAGCTTCACCACTCATTATCCGGGCCATGTGGAAGAGACAGTGTTTAGAGAGGAGAGGGGGAGAGAGAGAGGGAGGGGGAAAATGAGAAAACGCCAGCTCAAAGCCCAAAGATAGAGGGAATGAATGAGTGACTGAAAGAGAAAGAATGTAGATTTTCTTTGAACCTGACCACAGCTTCTTGTGCTTCTAATGAATGCTGGGAAGCTAAGGGAGGGAGACACCCAGACAAGACTGTCTTTGTTGTGCCTGTGCGAGAGAGAGAGTCAGACACAGATAGATGTACAGAGAGAGAGAGAGAGAACACAACAGATTTATGTCTTACAGGAAGTCTCCCAGATTTGTGGTGTCGCACAACCGCCTACCCGAGTCAACTCCATGCTCTGGCTTTTAATCAACAGTCAGCCTAAGTTCATGCGTACACACTTGTATTTACTGGGTATTCATGTTCATGGGTGTATCTGTTTGGCTCTCTGGCATGGTTCTCTGCACCTGTGTTTGCATAGGTGCAGCAGTGTTTGCATATTCTTCAATTAAAACATAACCTCAGAATGTTTTGACATGATAATAAGATAACAAGCTGTGTCGAACAAGTCTTACAGTCACCTATACATACATACTTTTGGATTACCTTTTTTTTATTATTATTTTAATTATTTTAAACAGTTTAAGGCAGAAACACTGAAATGACTATGACCCGGGGCCACTTTTGCAAAATGACAGGAAGCCACAGGCCATTTAATAAACAAATATTTATAATACTTTTTAAGATAAACACTTTTTTGGGGGAAATTCCTAATTTTCTAATTAAACCTAATATATGAACTAAATTGACTAATCAACACCTGGCACTTTTTCTAATCATAGCTCTATTATTCTGTTTGGACATTTGTATTTGCAATGTAGCACCTCATTCACATTAAAAGCACACAAATAAATTCACATTGGAAATTAAAAAATGCCACCCTCCGACCAAATTTGGCCGATGGGTCGTAAATTAGGTATCACTGGTTTAATGGCTACCTTCAAAATTGCCTTATGGTGTTTTAAAAAACGACTGAGGTATTAAATGCTCTCCCGACATTAGCATGAGGTCATGGCACCTTGGCTAATGTGCTAATGGAATTCACAGTAGTGAGCTAAACTGTGAGGCTTACCGTCCAAAGCCTGCACTTTTGTAATGGGAAGACCAAACACTGGATGCAGCGCAGGTCTCCAACAGGGGTGAGATGCTAATATTAGCTCGTGCTCACATTAGCTGAGTCATCTTCTCTGTGTCCTTGGCTTATTAACTGATTTAAGACTGATTAGATTAGTCTTGCAAGAGCGTGCACGCATACACACACACACACACACCACATTTAAATATCAAAATGGAATTGCTTGACCAGTGAAAACTAGATTAATTCAAAACGTTTGCATCAAGGTGCGGGGAAAAGCGATGACTGTGCATATTTTTAATGCACCTTGCAGCATTTAAAGCCATTTATGACATTATCTAAAGCTCATGTTATGCAAACACATTTTTCAAGTCAAAGCCACTTATGCTGAGAATACGTGACGGTCCTTTTTTTTCTCCTCTGCCTTGATTTGACTTCACGAGATCATCAGCATAGGTATTGATTTTGCACTCCATTTGGTGGAGTTTTATAAGCCAAAAGGTGTATTACCTATAATAACATGCAGTAACAGTATAATGATGTTGAGCTCTGTTGCACTACTGTGTGTGCATGTGCTTTTCATCACAGATATGTAAATGGAGTTTAGGTAAAAGATTAAAAGAAAATGTTTGTTTGGTACAGTACATGGACACAGTGTTCATCCATTTAGCACAGTGCTGTTACTTCAGCCCCCACCTTCATCAAGCTTTGTCAAGGTTATGCAAACAGATTGGCCGTTGCTCTGCTCCCAACAAACGCCACAAATAGCTTTTCTTCTCTCTAGTCTCCAGAAACTGTCAAGAGAATGCTACTGGGTCAAATCTCCTGACAGCCTAACAGCGTGCTGGGTGATGTAAGTTTGGCCTAGAAACCTCCCACATCTTTATTCTTCCTTTGAGAAATAATTTTCTATTATGTCATTGTTGTGCACTCCTGTTTCTTTCTGTTTGAATGTGTTGCTCCGTTCTACTTTGAGCCATTTGATCAGCTCAGAACGCGGCGTTACACTTTTAGATAGTTGTGGTAAACAAGAGGACGTTGTCTCGCTGTCTTATAGAGTTTGAAAGCGGAGTGCCAATTTTACTTGAGACTTTTCATGTTGGATGTAAGGAAGTACTCAGCCACTGTAAAAATGTGTACGTTCCTGTGTGCTCATGCTCAAGACTGTTTGCTTCCACCTCTCTTTATGCGTGTGTCTGTGACAGTCTCCTCTCAAGATGTTAATTCCTCTCCTCCCCGTTGTTGTCATGCTAACACCAGCAGTGTCTGCACCAGGGAGACGAAGACATATTGGTGTTAATGAAAAGCCCTCCTAAACTCTCCTCCCCGCATGAATGTTTAAACATGCTTGTCATAACATTCATTCGCTCACACATGACAGCTAGCATCTGCAGCTGCCTTGCTCGCCCTCAATATTTTATCATACCATCTCCCCTAACCCCAGACTAGCACAATGGCTGTGTGTTGGAAAACGGAATTATAATGACTGAAAACAGGCCGTGTACAGACTCACTACCAGCACAGGCCATACATAATGTATTCAGCAACACCACAGGCTTCATAATGGTTCAATTAGTCAATCTTAAATAAGAAAGAAAGGCCAAATGGAGGAAATGTGGAGATACATAGACATAAGAAGAAGAGGGGGATAAACAAAGAAGATGAAAGAAACACAGAAGAAAAGGGGATAGTTTTTAAAATATTGTGAAGAGAAGACGTAAAAGGAAGACAAATCCTCGTAATTAACTCACAAGCTTGAAACCTGCCAACGTTTTTATTCATTTTGTTCTATTTGGATACGTTTTAGTGCAATCGTTGACCTTATTCACCTTAATAGTACAACATAATGATTGTTATTGCAAAAGAAGAAAATGACGGTTTGGTCTCCTGGCACCATGAGCCTCACAATGGTTCAATCATTCCGTCTTAAAACTAAATATGATAAATATAAAAGATGGAAATGCACCAAAACATTGACAGAAAAGAGAAGGAGATGAACACACTAGATAGAAAGAAAGAACGATGACCTACAAAGAGAAAGAAAAGGTTTGTAAAGAAAGAAAGATAAATCCTCATGTCCATGTACAGTTTTCTATTCAGAAGTCCCACAACACTGCAGGTCAGCAGTTGTGACCTTGGTGGTTTTGACAGAAGTGGTTCACCATGGTAACGGTCGGTCGAACTTCCCCGCACCCCTCGTCACTCCCCAACCTTCCTCGCTGCCTGTCCTCTCATTTGATTGGACGCACAATTGAAATGTCATGTCTCAGAAACACACATGCACACACACCAGATCAACCAGACTGAAACAAGACAACATGAGAGAAACCAGAGACAAATGTAACACTCAGAGGGGAGAAAGCTTCACTTATATCTCTCTTCAGAAAAAATAGCCCTAAATATGTGAGTATCTAAACTCATAGTTAAACCTTGTGTGGTGGACATAGGCACAGAGCATCAAAGCAGGGAGGCTTGTCATAGCAGCTGAATACAGAATCAAATGAATATTAATGCGGAACCAATTACCTCAGGGAAATGTTGTCTGTAGGTTAGCTTGGCTAACACACGTGTCTCACCTTTAGCAAAGTGGAAGCAGTGGGGGGGGGGGGGGGCCTGGAGGCTGGACAGCGCTGATGTATTCGTTTTCCTCCTAACAAGCTTGTCTACCCCTTCTAAAATAGAATTGTCCACCCCTCCCCTCTCCTTATTTCACCTAGATGCAAACTGCGTATAAAGAAAATGAATTATGGAGAGAATAAATGATACAATTCTTCGACAATGCCTATGGCTAAGAGGAAGTTAATATTGTCTGACCACGTTGTTTGTTTGCCAAGATTTCATAAGCAGCATTTATAAATGTTTTGCTACAATATTGGTTAAAGGTGGGTTTTTTTTCTATATCAGGGTGGGTTAAATAATAGAAGTTCACATAAGCAAATAAACAAAAATGTGCTTTTTAAGGTAGAAGCACATTTTCATTCACTCACCTTTCCCTGTGTGCAGCAGTTTTGAGTTTGTGTAGTGTGACCCTGTTGTTGTGTGAGCAGCTTAGTGGAGTGCAGCACTGATCTGTTCGGGTCTCTAGCTGCTGCCGATCTGCATAAGTGACTGTGGCACACTTAAAGCTGCTGGCTCCTTTAAGCCCCTTCTAAATCAGTGTTAAAGCCTTGATAATAGACCTCACTGGCCAATTGATTGGCCTTCATATGTTTACAGCTCACTTTAATTGCCTCAAAAATACCATTTATCAGCCATGTGTGTCCATGTTTGCATGTATGTGTGTGTGCAAGCATGCCTGTCCATCGACAAAAAGGCCTATTGATTTATCAGCATCTGGATTTGTCCCGTTCACCGTACATAAAACCCCTGCGTATGTGCTGTTCAGAATGGGAAATGGCCCCATCGATTCCCTTAAGTTGGAGCCCAAATGCTAAAGATTTTTGGATAAGCTTTCTCATTATTTAAGCTGAAATCAATAGGGGAGAGCACGGGTCTAATGAATGAACGGGCCACAGATCAGATGGGGTGTGCTCATCCCTGGCCTGTCCTGGTCGATCTGCGTGGGGAGTGTGTGTGTGTGTGTGTGAAAGAGAGAGAGAGACAGACAGGAAGAAAGAATCCTTTTTCTTTGGTACTTACAAAAAAAACACAGCATAAGTCCACCTGTGTCTTTATTTCTTTCCCTTTTGATATGCCCCATTGCTGTTCAGTTATTAACTTGTATGTGTTCCACATTGGTGTAGCAGAGTTATTCTTATCATTATTCTTATTGAGCCATTTCCCACCCTTGTCTGTGTAGTCGGCGGTCAGCAGGAAGCAGGTGGAGCGGCAGCAGAAGGAGCTGTCAGGGTCCCGTCAGAAGGAGGAGGCGCTTCTCTCTAAGGTATGGAAAACACAACAAAAAAACATTCCTTGCATTCATGTGTGTCCCTGTCATCCTCATTTAGCTGTGGTTTCCCCTCTCACCCTTAGCTTGACTCCTCCGCCTGAAAGGAATTATAAATGCAATGAAAATTCATCATCTGGCCTCAAAAGGCTCAGTTTCCCCAGGGGGATCAGTGTAGTTTGATCTTATCTTTTTTGCTTAGAACACATCCAAGGGGAGAATAAATTACTAAACAAACACAACCGAAATACCTAGTGATCATGGATTGAAAGAAAAATTACCCACATTACCCCATTCAAGTCTAGATTGAACATACATTTGCATGGGAATATAAGATGTCGTGCGGCAGTGAAACCAAAAATGATATGCAAACACACACCAACTAACCCTCCCAACAACTCTGGCTGACTTTTTCCACTTTTCATTCTTTCCACTCTTCTGAAATAGCAAATGATACAGAGTGGTGTATGTCTGGGAAATTCAATTGTCATTTGCCCAGCGTTCAAATACTGCCTTTTAGAATATACTTACAAGGAAACAGCAAAGAGTTTCATTGTGTTTTAACTCATGGAATCATCTGCATTAATAAGACAAATCAGCCTGAAGCCATTTAAAGTTGACAATAAATCGATGAACTTTTCTTATTATTTGTGGTATTATTTCATACCACAAACGTTTGGAGTAGGTTTTTTATGAGTTTTTGCCTCCTGGCTATACAAAAAATACATTTATTCAAAATATGACTATTCTGAATTTGATGGGTCTTGTAAACACAAAACTCCTTACAACGCTGCAAACAGGAGTATTAGTGGAATATTCCTTTTCATTACAGTAACAGCTTAGTATGACTTTTGTCTTTTTTTGGAATGAGGGAAAATAACTATATTTTGTGCATGTCAACTTAGACAATGAGTAATTTGTCAGTGAATGTTATAATATAAATAATACATTATAACAATATATCTCTGTCAAGTCCAATTTTCAAACTCCCTGTCCCTTCCCCTCACTCCCCTCGTAAGTGTCCCGCCTTTTTCCTCCTCATAAATATGGAAGGCAAAAGATGATGAGATTCACGGACAAGAAAGGAATCAAAATCTATTGTTGCGTGTCCTTTTCCCCGTGTAAAGTTTGGATTAAATGTCACACATTAGCATGTGAACTTTTAAATGAGCTTGTTTGCTCTCCGCGGTGTGGGGCATGTAAATACCCATCCTGAGTATGGAATGGGGGATTGCTTAGCGGGAGCTGGGGGTTCACAAGAATTGGGAAGTGTAGGACACATTTGAGTGTGGCACCGGCAATTAGGGCCGCAGCGAGGGACCGGAGGACCAAACAGCTCTATTGACAGGCAGCGTCTGCCGTTCCACACCTGAAGTGGCAGCGAGTGGGAGGCGGGAAGGCTCCCTTATGGCTGCTACTTCTGGTGATTTGAGGGAAGATGATTGACAGGCACTCCCAAAATGAGATGATTGACGTGCACTGTCACTATGAATCTACTTATGGGCAACTTCAGGTGTGAGTGGAAAGAAAAGTGTGTGAGTGTGTGTAAATACGCATGGGTATCGGGACATTATAGTAGTGTGTAGCTCTGAGTAAGGCAGGGCTATGTATTGATACTATATCAATATTGTGATATGAGACTAGTTATTGTCCTAGATTTTAAATGCCATAAATATCGTTTTGTCTTGGTTTTAAAGGTTGCATTACATTATTGTGGTTAATTTCAAAATTCACCAGACTCTCTTAGTTTTTCCTTAATTGACCTTTACCCGCTTAGTTAATATATCAACATTTATCTTGATTTTCTATCAGAATTCTCAATGTGATATATCTCGATATATGCCTAGTCCTTGCTAGATGTTGACCATCAAAGATTACACATATCAAATGCTTAAAATGTAATTTACTCTAAACTTTTGTAGTATTGATCCAGGTTTCAGTATTAACCTTTCTGAGATTAACCTATAAAAACACAAGCATACATCAAGATTACAGATTCTGAATTTGTCCATAAAGTTTAAATAAGTCATGCAGAATCGTATATTTCTGACTCCACATGATGGTATGAATGTGTGTGCATGTGTGTAGGATATTTAAAACTAACCAAACCCCATATTTTTTTCATTGACTCCGATTCCCTTTGTTTTAAAATGCGAGGCTGCTTATTTATCGACGTAATTTCCTCTCAGTGAAGGGCTTGTGTCTGTAAAACACATTAAAATCATAATGCAATCTTTGCTAACCCAGGAGCAACGTTATTGTTCTATTATACTCTCCGAACAACAGCACCCCGGCCTGTTTATCAATCCAATATCTCATAATGTGCTCTCTGCTTGGTCATTTTGAATATAAAAAGATCTCACACTGTTATTGTACCATATTTCCTATACTTAGTATCAATCTCTTGTTCTGACACGGATCTGACACATCCAATATGATATTTGATTAGTTGTTTCTTTGTTGTTGTTTTTTTTACAGTCTCCAGGTGATATTGGCTACATGTGCAGAGGTAGTATTATGTTGGCTGTTTCATCTGGATATAAAAATGATTTAGTGTGTACTCAGCACGCAGTGTCATTGACTAGCTTTAATTTCACTGCAAGGGTGGACTTTATTACTCTGCTACTCTCCGGAAGTGTGTGTGTGTGTGTGTGTGTTGTGTGTGTGTGTGTGTGTGTGTGTGTGTTGTGTGTGTGTGTGTGTAGTGTGTGTGTGTGTGTGTGTGTGTGTGTGTGTGTGTGTGTGGTGTGTGTGTGTGTGTGTGTGTGTGTGTGTGTGATGGTGTGGGTGTGTGTGTGTTGTGTGTGTGTGTGTGTGTGTGTGTGTGTGTGTGTGGTGTGTGTGTGTGTGTGTGTGTGGTGTGTGTGTGTGTGTGTGTGTGTGTGTTGTGTGTGTGTGTGTGTGTGTGTGTGTGTGGTGTGTGTGTGTGTGTGTGTGTGTGGTGTGTGTGTGTGTGTGTGGTGTGTGTGTGTGTGTGTGTGTTGTGTGGTGTGTTGTGTGTGTGTGTGTGTGTGTGTGTGTGTGTGTGTGTGTGTGTGTGTGTGTGTGTGTGTGTGTGTGTGTGTGTGTGTGTGTGTGTGTGTGTGTCAGAGAGGGAATGAACGTTTCTGTGTGTGTGTTTTTTTCATGCCACACCTTTATATGCGCTTGTGCATATGTCTGTGTATCTCTCCCGGTCTGCATCTTCAGCACATAATTGCCATGCAGTGTATGAATCATCTGTACCAACACGTGGAGCAGCTCTCACACTCTGGACAAACCGGTGGTCCCGGTCCGAGAAACAGAGGGGCTCCACTTTGCCATGACAAACCTTACTTTTGATCAAATGCTACAGAGCCATAATCATGTTTGTGCCACTGAATTCTTTAACCTTTTCATGACCCCGCTGAATGCCAGCGGCCCAATCACTGAACCTAATTGAATCTGCTCGGCGGCGCCCCCCCCCGACTGATGAAAAAATAAAATTGGAGGTGAAAAATGAATACAGCAGCAGAGAGAGGGAGGGGATGCTGGTGGTGGTGAAGGAGGAGGAAGGGGGGGGGGGGGTCGTACTACAGATTTATAAATACACAGATGTGCTCACAAACGTACACACACACCTTTTTCAATCCTGCAGGAGAGTGGGGAATGAGAGGAGGGAGAAGGAGAGGGAGAAGCTGGGCCCTGGTTTCTCATTACCCCCCCGGCCCATTCGGAGGATATTCCTATAAGATAATCTGATTTATTTGCAATTTTCCTTTAAGCGGCTTAGTGTTTACCTCCAAGATTAATATATTTCTCTGTTATTAATATCAGACTGTAATTAGGAGTGATGTGTCTCGCTCCGTGCCGTTTCGTGGCCGCCAGGCAGCGCGCTGGATGAAACTCTCGCTGCGACTCTGTGATCCCCTTTCACAAAACAAAAAAAAAAGAGACGGAAGTTTTTAAAAGGAGGAAAGACGCTGCAGGCTGGGGATGTAGAATTACAATCGCAGCGTACCTGCCTTTGTGTCTACGGCTGTGTGCATGCGGGAAGGTACCAATATGGGAGTGTGTATTTCTCCAGTTTATGTGCATGTGTGTGTGTGACAGTGTGATGGTCCCCTCTGATTGATAAGGTGTCTGTGCAGGCTGCAGATTGCTCTTGCTGATTGCTTCTGAGAGCTCCAGCTGATTTATAATCAGAGCAGGATGAAGGATTGAGCCGTGGATTGCTTATCTGTTTAGCCCCCTCACAACATAAACTGACAAATTATCATGTTGAACACACACACACACACATGCACACATAGACACACAAGCACATGCGAAAAAAAACGTAATAACGTGGACCTCCTTATTAAACCCACCCAAACACCGTCATATCACACACACACTCTGGCCATACAGAACATAGGCGGGGTTATTCATCAGCACAGTCATATCTTCATGATTGCAATGAGTCAGTCTGATTTGTTTACATGTCAGTATGAGAATATGTATGAGTATGAGTATATAGGTCAAGTTAAGTTGCAATTAACTTGTTTAACGCACTTAGAGTTTTGATTTGCTTCATAATCAGGATCATAATCAAAATACTTTATTCATCCCCAGGGAAATTGAGTTGTGTTGCATGAATGAATGAAGATAAAAGAAAACCATATATTTTAAACAACATAAGAAGTTAAAGTAATAATATCCAATTAAGAGATAAAAGAAATAAATATATTTATAAAAACATAAGAATTATAAGTAAAATGTCCAATGAAAGATAATAAAAAATTATATAAATATTTCTTAAACATAAGAAGTCAAATGTATAATAAAAGAAAAATAAATATAATAATAATAATATTTTAATTAACATACAAAGTTAAAGTAAGAATGTGCGATAAAGATATTCAAATAAACATAAAAAAATAAAGTAAAATGTCCAATAATAAAACAAAAATATGTAATAAATATAATTATATAAAAAGTTAAATTAAGTAAGATCAAACAATACTGAGGATTTTGTACCTTGATAAGTATGTGGACGT